CCACTTGACCTCACTACAAACCGGCCTGTAGCTACACGACTCTCCAGTAAACTTTTTCTACTTTTCCTTTCTGTGAGAAAGTGGTCCAAGTGATCATCGGGGAGAGTTCGATGATGAAACTTATTGGCATAACAAAAATATTATGAATCATCTTTATAATCATTTCCTTCATCGCCACACAATATCTAATATTCAATGGTATAAATTTTTTATTGATTGGAAAAATAGTTCAAGTACAATAATTGAATTTCATAATTCTATAGCATTACTTTATCCTCAGCAATATATTTTTAAAGACCATGAACTTCGAGCATGGAGAGCACTACTTAAAGCAGCCAGTTGTCATGAAATAACTCTATTCACAAATAATAAATCTAAGGTAAATTGAAATTAGATTGATAATGCTTATGGCAAATTGTTTTTAATAAAAATATGTGTAATTTTTTCTTATTAAAAAAAAAAAAGGTCCAATTTTGGAGCCGTTTATTGAATGCATTACAAGACCAATATACACTTGCTCAATTATATTCTCAAGGATTTTTAACATTACCATCAGATAATACGAGTAATCAATTATGGGAATGCTTCAAAAATGCGTATAATGCAAACAAAAAAGGACAAGATGAACGTACTCGAATTCTATCAATAATCGCAAAAGAGTTTACCTATGCTGAGTTGGAAAAAAAACTTGGTGTTAGTATACATTATTTTAAAATAAAACATACAAAAAAAAAAAATAAAAAAAAAATAAATATATTATGCCAGATTTTTTCAAAGACCGTATCTAGTGCCTAATTATATACTACCACTAATGGTCCTGGTTGCCCTGCACTATGCAAGCCAACAATTACTAGAGTACGCTTATCAGAAGAATTACTGAATCAACTTATGACATTTTTACTTGACAAAAATGTTGCAACACCAAGTTCCTATAAAGTTGATGCAGCAACTGGCTTGCCCGTAATGTATTTAAAGGATACTAAAGAATCGTTATAGCACCAATTTTTTGAATTGCATCCAAATGGAATGAAGCAGACAGCTTTTATGACCCGCTTAGAAAACAGTAGATTCGTTTATCGTGATGATTTTGGTGGACTATGCTTGATCTGTAATGAATATGGATTTGGTGTTTTTAAAGATATGATTACACTAGTTCGTGAAAAAATTGAGCAAAAAAATACTCAGGTTCACTATAATAATTTATAAAAAAATATAATTAATATTAATTTTAAATTTGAATCTAAATATTGTAATTAGAATGAATTAATAGCTCAACTAGAAGTAACTCAGCGTCATTTGAAACGAGAATATGAAAAAGAATTGACGATAAATATGTTGGGGCATGTTCAACATGATGATTATAATGAACATTGTTTAAAATTTGCATTTGGAAACTGTAACGAAGAACATTCGAAACATTGCGATAAATGTAACAAAGTTGATTTAATTTTTCAGCAAATTCTACAAATCCTTCCTAATGAAAAAGAAAAAATAATTGAGAATCGTGTCAAATTACAATATTACTGGGCTCACCAAGCTAGAAAAACTTATCTTAATGCACAGTTTAATGCAGCATTACTCCGTTTAGATGAAAATAGTGCTGTTATCATAGCTAACTATAAAATGAAAATTTTACCCCAGTCAGCACGAGAAGTAAAATTGGATTTTTTTGGAAAAAAAAGATATATATTACATACATTACTGGTATATACAAAAAAAACTAATGATTCTACCTTATTAAATGTTGAAGTTTGGTCAGCTGATCCAATACAAGACGCGTGGTTCACTGCATCTTCTTTTGATGCCTTGTTTTCTACAATGGAGAAAAAACCTTCCTGGATAGAAATTCTTTCGGATAATGGCCCACACTATCATAACAAAGAACTAATGATAATAATTAGTCAATGGTTCAAATGGTACGATATAGAAGTAAAGTCATGGATTTTTTTAGAACCTGGTAAAGCAAAAACTATAGTGGATTCTCATCATGCACAGGTAATATTTAGTTACAGAAATTTTTAGAAAAGTAATTACTACGATATATGATCCCGTAGGATCACTTAGCAATTATTTCTCTAAAAAATAATTTGCTATCGGTTACTTATAATGACTAAAGCACCAAAATAACTCATACGTTTTAGTTTTTGATTGTTATTTGTTAGATAAAGTTATTTGAGAGAGATATAATTACTACAAAATAATAAGCTTGATCATAGTAAATGCTAAGTTACTCACTATTTTTATAAACTATCTATTCAATAAATTTAAAATGATTAGATTGCACACTCTATAAAACGCTATGTTCATCTTGAATATAATATTCAAAATGGAAATGATATAGTAGATACAATCAGGGATATAAAAGGAACATCTGTTGCAAATATTAACTCTAGTGAACGACCAAAAAAAGCAAAAAAAATAATATCTACCTTGGAAGGCATTACAAATTGGTCACATTTTGTTTGGCCAACAAGCAGTGAATTATCTGGTTATATCTGCGCACGCTCTTTACCTAATTTTGGTTCTTGAAATACTTTTTCCCCTATTGATATTAAAAAAACTATGAACGATCAAGAATTTACAAAACCAAGTCCAAAGATTTCAGATCATACTAAACCAAGTTCTGAATGGACTATTCCATTGCCCAGTAACAAAAGTATATAAAACTAATATTTATATTTACCTTGCTTATTTCTAAACTCACTTTCCCACTTTTAGTATCAGATCCAAACAGATGGTCCAAAACAGATGTCAAAATGGAGTTAAAAAAATGAAAAATTGGTTATGAAGATAAAGAGAATAAATGTGAATTAGTAGCTACGTTGAGAAAAAATATTGGAGAAAAAATACAAAAAGAAGTAAAAGGTATATATGATAATGTTTATCTTTCGATTGTTCTTATTACTAACAAAACAGTATATAGAAATTCAATTGCAAGAACCAGGTAATATCTTACCAAATAATATTCTGTCTAATTCAATAAATATACCTGTATCAAAATCAAAAAAGCGTCGAGTAATGCATTCAAAAGATAACTTAGAAAAATTGAGCTAAAGTAAATAAATATTATTTATACTTAGCTGAATATGTATCAAATACCAATAATTTATTATTTTTCTAGACAAAGTTATTTTGATTTAGGGTGGGCACTTCGAGAATGTCAAGAATATGGTAAACGTGGTGGTGGAAAACACATGACTGAACGAGTCAAACAATTTCTTAAAACCTACTTTTTGTCAAGCGATATGGACAAAAAAAATCGATTTACTGCTTCTACAATGCTTGAAGAATTGCAAAAAAAAGTAGGAACAGGTGAGCTAGAAGCAGACGAAATACCAAAAATAAAGACAGTAGAAAATTGGATAACATGATACAACCAAGAGCATAGAAAGGAATCAGCGATAAAAGAATTATATATTCCAATAGAAAGTAAATAGCGTAAATATAATATTTGTATATGTAACCCGCTGTATCTCTCCACTTCAAAGCGTCTCTCTATTGAAATTTTTGCTCAATAAAAATTTTTCATATGAAAAATCATATAGCCGGATACTTACTTGAATTTGTCAGTGGAACATATTGAACTCGGGTATTATATTCTAGGGAATTTACAAATAAGGACCCAAAAAATTAAAATAATTACAGATAGGGACCCAAATTAAAAAAATTACGTATTGGGACCCAATTTTTAATTAATTTGACTACGCCAATAAATACTTATTTATTGTGTTATATTAATTGCAAGAGTATATTCTATTAAAATACATAAATCACAAAAGCACATTTATAAAAAAAATACAGCATTCTTTATAATCACTATATTAAGCTTTTTTAATTGTTTTTTTTTTATGTCGTCTGTCACAAGTATGTGTATTATGATCTTTTTTACCACACTTTCCGCAGGTAATTTGATCTTCTGGTGCAACTTCTCACACTACGTAAACGAATTTTTCGTGGTCGTCCAGCTTGCCTGATTGTTGCCGGTGGTAATGTTTGGTTATCGGGAAGACACATTTTTACATCCACAGGTTTTACAG